GGATGGATGGATGGATGATGGATGGATAATGATGGATGGATGGATGATGGATGGATAATGGATGGATGGATGGATGATGGATGGATAATGATGGATGGATGGATGATGGATGGATAATGGATGGATGGATGGATGATGGATGGATAATGATGGATGGATGGATGATGGATTGATAATGGATGGATGGTTGGATGGATGGATGATGGATGAATCACGATGAACAGACATCAGATGAACTGAGTGATAAAAACATCTCTTCTCTCTCTGACGACTGTCTCAACATGGCCGACCCCTCTGAGGGTTCAGACCTGTACCAACATGTAACATGTGCAGCATGAAGTGACACAGCTTCACTGTGTCTGATGATCAGTCACATAATAATTCAGTGAGGTCTAAATTTAGAGCACCTGGCTAACAGCAGACTTGATCTGCAGCTAACAGCAGACGATCTGCAGCTAACAGCAGACGATCTGCAGCTAACAGCAGACGATCTGCAGCTAACAGCAGCTATAATCATATTAAAGCCTGAACACATCATTTACCCTCTGTCTGAAATCAGAGGACAGCAAACTTTTACCATTTTTAACATTTTCTAAACTGACCCAAGTCACACCCAAGAACCTCCCACTTAGTGACTTCAGAGACATTACAACTAAAGAAAAATTAAACTAATTAAAAGACAAGAAAATTATATTAAACTCATGGGGAAAAACATCCTTTATGAGGCAACTAAAAAATATCTATCAATGAGTGAAAAAACTCCAAGCTGCCAGAAAAGGTGTTGAAAAGCTGTGATATTTGTCAGGCGGAGTGTTTCTGAGGGTGTTACGAGACGACAACAACTCTGCTCCTCACCTTTTTTTTTTTGTTTTATTTTGAAACTGTCAAAACAAGCAGGACATTTTCATGAAAATATATTTAAAAAATGTGTTTCTTCAGCTGTCGGACTGATTTTTGTTCTACTCTACAAGTTGCAAACGACAGGAAACAGGAAAGAAAAACAACTTTTTGTGAGYCAAGTCTCACAGAACAAACAGTGAAACATCAGATTCAGATCTGGATTATTTTTTAAATCTGTTCTTCTTATAATCCCAGTATCCAGAGCCAAATGTAGTTTAGTTGATAAAACGTCCGTCCTCGTTAGGAGTCAAACTGACAGAAGCCTGCCTCTGGGACAGATTGAGTGAAATAAAAAGAGCTCTGCTTTAAATAAATCTAATTGTTTTTCTCTCAGCCTGGAGGAACTGCATTCTGTGGCTATTTAATGAACTTTAAGTCTACTTTAAAATTCATAAATGCAACTGTTGTGGTCCAGAGTCTTTGGGGAGCTTCCATTAGAGCTATTAGCAACAACAAAATACAGAAAGAAACTGATTACCAGGATGACATTTTGACTTTTAATTGCTTATTTTGTAGAAAACAAAGATTTTATTTTTTTTCCAAACATATCCCTGATTTTTGTGGCATCAACATAAAAACATTGCAGGAAAAAGTAAAGAAATTAGTGTTAGGTTGATTATTTTTTTGTTCTCCTTGTCAATAAAGTCACTTTATTAAAGGGATCCATGATTAGTTGTAACATTAGACTTTATTTGATAAACATTTATTTTAACTGTAAAATAAAGACTGTAAAAATACTGTAGGCTGTT